GTAGGGCACACTAAAACTGAGCAGAATTCAACTTATTCTTGTCAACTGAGCGGTCAAGAGACAGACTGCACTTGTCGTGTGGCGGAGCTGGGCCCACTATTTCATCTTCCTCAATGGCGCGTCTTTTTTTTCAAAATGGTGAACTGGATAGCGCCAACGAGACATGCAGAATTGTATGGCCGAGACCGCCCACATGGCAAACGTGGAATGTACCTGCAAGACAAGAAAAAATAAAGCATCAAAACCGTACCTGTAAACCTGCTATTATCTTGGACCATACACTTGGCTGGTTTTTTTCAACAACACTCGGTTGGCTTCTTTCAACTTGTGGCAACAATGTGACCAGATACATGAGGAGGTCGAACATCTCCTCATCAGTCATGGGCTCTGAAAAGACTTGGAGTCCAAATGATCACAAAATATTACTTTTTAGGGCTCAATATAATAGTCAGCTCCTGTAAAAGTTTAGGGAGTCGTTGCGATAGCGCTTTATAGGTGCAGGTGCATGTATATCGAAGGGGCCAGTCTGCAGTATTGCGTGAGCACTTTACTCCTTTACGTTATCGAGGGAGTTGGCGGGGGAAAGGGGGGGGGAAGAAGGAGGGGGTGCTGAAGGGATGGGAAGGGAACTGTGAACTACCTCCAACAGTCCGGTTTTCACAAGCGTAAGTAATTTACTCACCCCTGCGCTCCTTTTCTCTTAGAACTGTAGGCTACCATGGCTATGACTGCAGACTATACCCTTCTAAAGTTTCTCCTGTCGTACAATCCCTTCTCAACCGCTGAGAACCACAGCGTAAGCCGTGCCCTGACTGGGCCCACGAAGGATTGTTCACGACTTCGGCGCGAGAAGAAACTCCATGCAAGAAAAATTAATCAGGAACTTGAAGGGTCACGCAGGCAAGCAACTGCGCGACTATAACTGATGTCTGAGAGCAAAAGGGGCGTCACGGTGATGGCTGCTTACTCCCGTGTCCCTGCTCCCGTCTCACACATTCGTTCTTGCCTTGTTCCCTTCTAGACACCCCTTGCTCTCGCAGCTACGCCACTTTTTGCCTTCAGACGTAAGAGTTGCTTGTCAGCAACCCCTTATGGGAAAGGACCCATTAGGCTCAACTCAGCGTCAGCGGACTGGCACGGCCCAGTCTCTCCAGACGTCTCCTCAACTGTCCCCTTAACTGCCTTACCGCCTCGAATAACGGTCAGGAGGGCGAAGAGGATCCTTATGCGCAGCAGAGTGGTGAGTAACCCTCACCATGTGTTACGTAGCCCGAAGAACAAGATGAGTGAGCGCATTGATATTAATGGCACCTTCTGACCCGTTCTTTGAACTGTCAATGCAGGAGTTTTTAGACCGAGTGTACAACCTACCTTCTTTTTTACTGGATGACGACGTTGTTGCCGGTGTTGTTGAGGATGACGTCGAAGGTACTTCCGTCGTTGCTTTTGGGACAAGATCAGCGTCGTCATGGAATTCCAAGTCGATTTCGGACTTTTCATCAAGTTCGTTGAAGGTCTCGCCATCCTCATCCTCAATGGACTTGACCTCGAATTTATCGTGAATAGGGCTGTCCAGCTGTGGTGTCTCTTTGTCTATCATTGCCGCTAGTGCACTTCCATTTGATAGTTCAACCAAGGAGATGCTACTTATTATCGTCGGCTTCCTGTCATGTACAAGTAGGGTTTTGGGACTTGGAAGCTCGTCGACCTCGTGTTCTACTAATTCTATGACACCACCGCTTTCTATGAAGCTTTTCTCATCCAACACGCTTTCTTTCCTACCATTGACCACCTCCTGCATGAGGTCTTTCTTCTTCTCGGGTATGGTAGTTGTTGCTGCACTTGTTGGAACTGACGGAACGGTAATAGGTGCTACTCCTGTTGGAATCAACTTGACCTGGGTCAAAGTATTGCTAAAAACGACTTGAGTATCGGAGACCCCTTTACCATTACGATCTTCACTTAGAACTTCGGCTCCTCTAAGGACCTCACGCTGAGGTAGAATTTTACCCGTGCTGGGGTCGAAGTCTGCAGGAGGGGATGGATCAGGCGATTTCACTGTATCCATCTCAACTCTTAGAATAGGCAATTTCCTGCTCTGAACGTCGTTCTCAGCGCGATCCAATGGTCCGGTCATGACATTTTGCTGAGAATTAAGACCGAAGCTTGTTACGGTATCGGCGCCGACTGGATGCGGGATGTTCAGTGAAGCATCTTTATCAACGGCGGGTGCCAGTGTTGGAGCAAGACGGGCTAGTGTAGGCTGATTGTCATTGATTTCTGCATGTTTTGAGGCGCTATAAAAGCCGAATACAGATCTCGTAGAAGTCACGGTAACGTACTGCAGTAGAATGAAGGCTATTCGCCACATAAAACCTGGAAATGTTGTTACAGTAATCTATAATTCTCATAGCAAGAAAAACAATCGATTATCTACCAGGATCGACCTTCTCTTAATCTTGGCATTGTTGTATTTTCACGGCTTTGGACGGCTAAAATTATCCACCTGCTTGAAAATCGATTATTCTTCGATT